ATATATATATATATATATATATATATATATATATATATATATATATATATATATATATGTGATCCTTCTATTAGAAAAAAATCAAATAATAGTTAATAGAAAATGTATGTAAGTAAATTAAAATTAAAATTAGGTGAATAAACATAAAATTCAATTTTGGTCGCATACGACTACAATTAATCCATGCTCGACTTTTAGATCAAAGAAATGTGGAGAAGGTAAGAATCTTCTTTTTATTCATTTCATTAATGCATCAACCCAGTTGTCATTCCACAAACGTTGGAAATAAATGTTTATTTTCTAATTCCTAAATCGTCAATGTTTCCTTTGGCATACATGTCTGATCGAAATTGTTGGTGTCAGTCTCCATATGTTTGAAATGATATTAATTTTCATGCTGTGAGTCACAAATTTCTAGGAAACATTGACGTGTTACGTTTGCAATCGAACCTTATCTGACCTATTTGAGGTGCGATGAGCCAATTCTAATCTTTCAGTGACCCAATCGACCAGATCTAATTGGGTCCAGAGTCGGGTCAATTATTTCGATTCGGTCCATGTTATCCAATCTCGTTTGACGAACGAGTCGCATACGACGGATCCAATTCTAATATTTTGATGGGTCGGGTTAAACTCATTTGTTCGGCCGCCGAGTTGATCGAACCCAATTGACCCGATCTAATTGGGCACACTAGCTGCAGACCGATCAGGTTGAGCCACGCCCGTGGTCGCGGTAGGGAGTTATATGGAGTGGGGCAACCCCATTTTGGCGCTGCGTGCGCGTAAGATTCATAGGATAGAGCTCGTCTGGTTCGCCCGCCCCCAAATCGGGAAACGAGGGGGAGAACAAGATATCCGATAATTGAAGAGGCCAATTTCTTCCAAAACCCTAGAATTCGTCTTCCCCAGTCCTAAATTTGAGATCAAATATTCATGACACTCGGTCCATTTCGTTCTCGGATCAAGTTCCTCGCTCGCAGTCGGCCGCGGTGAACCCTAGCCCGCCACTCGCTCGCTCTTGGGCGCGGTCTCGGAAGACGTTCTGGTGTCAGGTAGTGGGATCTTGTTGTGTTTTATCTTGTAATCGGGAAAATGGGACTATGAGTTGGGCGGTTCTTTGGTCCTCCATTCGTTTTTATGTGGAATATTTGTTGGGTTTCGCCTTGGTCTCTTTTTTTCTAGACCGTAGGTAGTTTAAATCTTTGCGTCCTGGGAGAATCTGTGCGGTTTTGAGCTGAGGGCTTTGCGGTAAAGGTGGATCTTTCAATGTTGTTTGGTGATTGATTACTGAATTGTGTTGTCTTTGCCAGTATTTTTCTGGATCATGTTTTGTTCTTACATTTGTAAATGGAAACAGGATGACGTTTCCACCTTTTCTTCGACCTTCCACCTGTTCTTACATGTTCCACCTTTTCTGGAAGATGTTGCCTTTGTCTAATGAAGTGTGGATCTGTTGGCTAACTTGTGGTTTAGCATGTGGGTGGTTGCAACTAATGGGATTAGTGTAGATTTTGATTAATTGTGAATGGGTATAATTTTATAGCAATTATTTTCTTTTTGTTGCTTTTCCAAGGTTAGCATGATGTCGCTTCAAATACTCATTGTTACTAACATGTTGGTTGGGAAAGTAAATTTGCTTTGCTGCTATCTTTTGTTTCCTGCACTAAAAACTTGTTCAGGCAATGTCAAACTTGTGTTGAAGTTGGTAAACGTTGGCATGTCTAATGGTGTCCATTGTAAATTTGTACATTCATCTGGTCATCATAACATCATTGTTCTCACCTGAAAACCTTGAAAGTGAGAGTTGTGGACTTATTCTACAGCATAGTGCCACATTAGTTGTCACTGTTGGGCTCCTGTGGTTCTTTTAGAGTCTAATAGAATGGTGTCCTGCTTTGTGCTGCTAACACTTTGATGATGGACCTTGTATGATTCTACTGCATTATAAATACGATATTTGTGGTGTACACAAGGTGTGATTCATGGATTTCAATGAATTTCTCTCTATTAAAACTAAGGGTGTTAAATAAGGAACTGAATTTAGAATTGAGAGAACTTTGCTGTGGATGATTGGCAAGTTTTTTAATGTTTCATATGTACTTTGTGTCCATTTTTATTATTACTTTCTGGCAGACCTTATCCATCTTTCTAACTGTTATTTCTTTTCTCTTGATAGGCCAAGCAAGTGATTGAAGAATCTATTTAATCAGCATGGTTTTTTCCTATTAGTCACCGTTTTGATGCTTAAAGAGTATATCTGTGCAAGTTATGCAGAGTTATATGTCCTTGAAGTTATATATTGTGTTGTGTGGGGTTATTTTTGTAAACAATTACTATCTACTCTATTATCAAAGGTCTTGTTGCTGGGGTAGATCATTCATTAATGCCCAATATTGGAGTTCTGAACTTGGTGGATCAGTTTTGTGACTTTGTTGTCATTCATTTTTTCTCTCTTCTCATTTGCAAAGAGGTATCCATCGATGTCAGAGAGCGAAAAGGCTATAATAAAGCCAGAGGTATATTTGACATTGTCATGAATTTTTCTAGTAAAAGAATATATTTCATTTGTCTTATTGTCATAACTATTTTTTGGGTGTCCCTGTTCTTCAGAAGTTTTCACTGGTGCTCCATGGTCACTGAATCAACAGCTTTTATTGTGTTCCTTGGAATCAATATTTGACACTCTGAATTTTTTGCTCCATCGATTTCCTTGTATTCTTTTTTGTCTATGTCCAGTTTTAGTCACATTCTATATCATGTTAGTGACATCTGACAGTTCCTATGAAGTAATTATTTAAATATTAGTTTGTTCATCAAGCTAATTAATGTGAAGACAAAAAATAACAAGATTAACTATTTTTGTAATAACAGGTCATGAAGTCATTTATCTGGCTCCAATGTGCTGATGGGTCAATTCAACAAGTTGAAGAGGAGGTTGCAATGTTTTGTCCTATGATATACCGAGAGATCCACCAGACAGGGATGGGATCTTCTAAGAACTATGCTATATCTTTACCTGAACGTGTCAACCCCGCAATTCTCAGCTTGATATTTGATTATTGCCGATTTCATCAAGTTCCAGGCCGCTCAAATAAGGTTTTTGTCATATTATTTCATTTTTTACTGGCTACACCAAATTTTCCTTTCAGTGTTACTAAATACATTTCCCTAAAAAAGGCATTTAATAATGGCTATACTTCTCAAATCTTTGATTTTACATACATATCCCTGTTAAACCACAAAAGTGATAATTGGCCCTGAATTCAGATATCATCTCTGGGCTGCTAGAAGTCTGACATAATTGGACACGAGGACTAAGATTTTCCTTTTCTAATATACCCTTGCATCAAATAGGACACATGTAATCTAAGCAGGAACAAATCCAGAGATTAGGTTGGGTTGGGTAGGCGTTGGGGATAATTAGGTGTCATATAGCTTTCTAACTGTTGCTCCATGATGTCTAGGAACGGAAATCCTTTGATGAGAAATTCATCAGGATGGACACAAAACGACTATGTGAGTTGACTTCTGCAGCAGACAGCCTCCAACTAAAGCCATTGGTCGATCTTACTAGTCGAGCACTTGCTCGAATGATAGAAGGGAAGACACCAGAAGAGATTCGGGAGACATTTCATTTGCCAGATGATCTTACTGAGGTAATTTTTTTCTCTTTTAATTACATGTTCTTATTTCTTCTTGCACTTACTCTGTGTATGGGGTTCCTATATCAGGAAGAGAAGCTGGAGCCATTGAAAAATGTGAATGATGATCCACGAATTCGGTTGCTCAATCGATTGTATGCTAAAAAACGAAAAGAATTAAAAGAGCGGCAGAAATTAAAGGTAGTTTAGCACCTGGATTTGATTATTCTTTTAATTCAGAAATGTCTGCTCTTCTCACTGGAGATGTGTTTTAGATATTTTGCTGTCAAAACTTCTGTGTGAATTGTTATATGGCTTTTTTTTACACTTTAAAATTTATTCCTAAAGGGTACTTAAACTTATTTCAGAACACTGAAGTAAAGGAAGAGAAGAAAGATGAGCGTTCAGTTGATGAAATCTTATCTTTTATAAATGGAGATGAAGGTGTTTCCAGAGACTGATCTCTAGTTTCATTATATTTTTGTTTCTAATGCCACAATTTATGACTCGCTTGTGCTTTCGAATTATAACCGTATCTGCTTCAGTTTCACTTTATAAATTTTCTGACTTGTCTCTTACTATTTTTTGGTTTTTTAAATGGCTTATCTGTCTCCTGTTATGGTATCTAAGATTTTTATCATGGAACCTTTGATTGCAACAAAGTCAAAAACCACATCTGTTCTCGATTTTATTATTCATGTTTCATACTAGTCTTTTAGATGCATGTTCAGGGGCTTTTAGCAAATCTTCTTTCTTAAAGTTGTCTTGGTTGGGGGTTTAGTCACCAACTTTTGGGGAATGTTAGGTTGATCAAGTCAGATGCATGTTCTTTTAGCAAAGTCCTCTTTCTTGATGCCTTTTTTGTTTTGATTTCTGTTCTATAAAGTTTCTGATGATGGTGATGATGCGCTTACTCAGAGTTCAGTCATGTTTAAACATAAATATTCCTTGGGATTCTAGTTATCGTTATCTCATAACCTATTCATTTTAATAAGAAGGGCTTGGTTATTGGTTTTTATTGTGAGCTCTGATGGAAACCTTTTTATCTAATCTTTTTTTTCGTACATAAGCTGGTTGTTTGCTTGCTAGCACATAGTGGTTTAGGTCGGAGGGATGGTAACTGCACCTTGTTAAATCTAATTCTTTGAAATGCTTTGTTATGTGGCTTCTTTCTCCCCTGAAGTCTCAATAATTACTGAAATTGACTTCATTCTGCTTGTGCAAAACATGTTTGAGGTTAACATTTGAAGTGTGATGTTGATGACTTCTTCAGATCAAGTGTTAAAAATGCTGTCTTATAACCTTTTCATTTTTGGCAGACTCTAAAGGAGTTAAAGCTATTAAGAATAAGAAAAAGAACAGGAAGAAGAAAGATCTTCCAAAAGATATTTCCAGAAATGACCCTGCCAAAGTGCACAAGAAGGTTACTGGTTTTCTTTGCTTTCTTTAGATGATGAGATTTACAATTATCATTTAATAGTTTTAATCTATTATTCTTTTTGATGTTTGGACTATAGAAGGAGGCTACATTTTCTCCGAGTCCAAGTCAAAGTTCAGAAGCACAGGAGAACGATGAAGATGCTTTTGCATCAAATGGTGAATTTGAAGATGGTGATATCGATGATGAGTTAGATCCTGCAGTGAAGGAAGAACTTGATAGGCTAGTGCCGTTTGTCCTTTTGCATGATTGCTGATGTTTCATTTCTTATTTTATTTAACAGGCTATGTTTATGAAAACTAGTTTATGTTCAACTGATTTATACATTTTGTTTCTTGGTTTACTTCTGAAGATAATTTGATTGATCCATATTTTTTGTTGTGTTATGTTGGTGATTTTTTAGTATGAATTTGATATTTAATTCTAAACTGCCTTGTATAAGCATATTTATATCTGTGCCTTTTTATGGTCAGATACTTATTCTTATTAAAATGGTATTATTTATAATGCTGAGAAGAGAGTGCCTTAGATATTTTCCTTTTTCCCTTGCAAAATTGTTAATGTTATAACATATTGCTAGTTATTTTCTTGAAAAGGTCATTGAGAAGTGGATAAATTTTTTTGAATATTTATAAAGATTGTCATTAGGATGTGGGTATAAAAAATTTTCAAGTGTTTACTTGACCTTGTCTTGGTATTAAAATCCATCTTCATGTATCAAGACCATTTTAGCTGGTTTTCTAGGTTTTACAAACTTAGGTTATCCCAGAAAGAGTCGACAGGAACCCAGCCTGGTAAAGTGGTTCCTTGTCATTGTAGTTCTGGTCACTTGGAGATTTGAAAAATACTAAAGTTGAAGCCCTAGGATCTGTTCCATTGGTTGTTTTGACCAAATAGGCAATCTTTATATATACATTCTTGGATAACAATTCCATTTCTGGCTTGGGAGTAATATTTTTGTTTTATAAAACTAGGTTGCAAGTGAGATTTTGGCATCCGTGTCCCTGAAACTTGGTTTCCAGCAGGTTTCATAAGCACATTTGAGGTGGTGATGCTCTGTCTCTCTCTATCTCATCTATTACCTAATAAAAAAAAGAAGCTTTTGGGATGTCTTTATCAGCCGCCTTTTATCTCTTTTTTGTTGTAATTCAATGTACAAGCTGAGCTAACTTTATAGTTCCCAACCTAGATTGGATGTATCAGACTGAGATGAACCCTACATAATACAAATTATGAAACATGTAAAATTCCACCTTTCTCTCAGCCTTAACCTGTAAAGTTAAGGCTGAGAGAAAAGTCTGCTGTATGACACCTGTAAAGTTAAAATTCCACAAATTATGACTCATCTTTAGAATGACATATTTTTATTAAACTCAATAATATGATATTTTCTTGTGGGAAAAGTCTGTTGTATGACTATCCTATGCTTTCAATTTTTTTCTTTTTCCTCAAAAGGTTACTCTCTGCTGATGTCTGCCATGTTTTTTTATGGCATCTTACCTGATGTGATCTCTTTAAAAAAAAATTATGCTTAAGTATAATAATCATATCCTTAATTTATTTGGTGATGTATTTTTTAATAAGTTATACGGTACTTATAGGTCTCAGCAATTGTTGCTTGTGCATTTAGGATGCGTAAAGCTTATTATCTGTTTTGTTTTATGCAGAGAAGTGGAAGATTTTGCCAGGAGACTAAATTCTGATTGGCCCGAAAGAATGCAAGAAATTTTGTCTTTTGGACAAGATAGAAGGCTCGTTCCAAATTTGATGAACTCTAACGGTTCACTTAAGAAGTTCACAGGTCTTGTTAAATTCTTTGTGCTTCATGTTATGTGTAATTAGGGGATTGTTTTTCTTCGTTTGTCTTATGTTGTAGCAGGGCAGACATACCTGCCATGCTATCGTAACTATGATTTTTCAGTTTTTCTACTTTTGATTTTGCTCTCTTTTATCTTTGTATCCTTTTTATTTCTTCAGAAAAGCCTGCTTTTATATTACCTTATAACTTAGAGACTTAATGGAAAGGGAAAAAGGGAGAAAAGCCTGAAGTTAAGGTTCCTCTCCATCATGCTTTCGTGCTCAGCGACCAGCAGGGACCATCTAGCTCGTCTCTCTCAGTCTAGTGACATTTAAGCTCTTGCATTTCAAAATAAAAAATAAAATCTTAAACTGAAAATGTTTACTTTTTCATTCTTTCCCAAAGACAACTGAAAATTCAACATATTAGTGGATGCATATTTTTCCTTTTATCCTTTTTTTTAATTTTCAAATCATGTTTTTGGCTGATCCCAATTCCCTGATTCTATCTAGTGTACCCAAATCCGGGACCTCTTATTTGACCATAGTCCCAACCTTACAAGCTTTGGTTTATGTTGTAGGTTATCATTTGAGAGGCTAATTGTAAATTACCCCTGTAGTTAGACCTCCTTAGCAACCTGATTCCTAAACTTAAAAAATTTACATTGGAATCCTTATAGTTATGAAAATGAAATATCTATATCCATTTACCCAAACGTTACTGGTTTTATTGATGAAAACACAAAAATAATGGGCAAAAAGGTAATTTCAACGTTCTAGATGGTGATGACGAACGATGTCGGTGGTAGCGGATGACGACGTCGCTGGGGGCCACCGGTGGCTGCTGTGGATGAGAAAAGCGACAGCGAGAGGTGAGGGTCGCTCTGCATCTGCGTTGACGTCGACGCAGTTACCGAGCGGCAAAAAGGCCGCTCTCCTCATCCACAATAGTCACTCGCGGCCCTCAGCGGCATCACCATCCGCCACCACCGACGTCGTCCGCACCACCAATTAGAACGTTGAAATGACCCTTTTACCTATTGTTTTCGTGTTTCCGTTGGTAAAACTGACGGCGTTAGGGTAAATGGTCCTAGATGTTTTACTTTCATAATTATAGGGATTCCAATGTAAATTTTTTAAGTCTAGGGACTAGGACGCTAAGGAGATCTAATTACATGGGGTAATTTGTAATTAGCCCATCATTTGAGGCATGGGTAGAACTTGAGCTTCTCACCATGTTTGCCTAGAAAATAGAAGAAAATAAATCATTGAACAGGAGTTTAAAAGTGCATGAAACTTGCACTATGCAGAACCTAGGGTTCCATGATTTGAACCACTGATTCCTAGGTCTCTAAAGAGCAATGTCACTGTGGAAGCAGGACTCACCCTTAACAGCACACAAAAAGTTGAGTTACAAAAAAACACAGTGAAGATATTTAGTTGAATTTGTAAAGATGGTTCTGCAAGAAGTTGTGTAGACAGACAGTGAAAGTTATTGAGCAACCATTTATGCCCCATCCAAATAATTTTCCAAGTTTTATAGGTCCATATCTTTCTTAACAGCTTAAACTTTTGGGGTTTGTGGTAATTTAATATAAAATCATTTTCATGATACCTAGTAAGTTGTGAATTTGAATCTGTATCTGTCCCTCTTTATTTAACTTGATGTTCAATTAATATTTCAACAATGTCCTTCCCTTTAATTGGCTTGCAGCATTTAGTTGGGTTTAATTTTACGTGTCAATTCTAATCTAACTTGCATGTGAGAGAGATCAATTGGGCTCTTTCTTGGCAGCTTAAGCATTTGAGATCTGTGGTAACCCAATGTAAGACATTTATCAATACATGAGAAGAGAAATTGGTTGGATTTTGATGATGGGAAATGCACTTGAAAGTAGTTCACAAATCCAACTAGGATGGGTGCATTGATCGTCACTTAAAACCTATATCGATGAAAGCCTCATGCATTGGGTTCATCCTTTTTAAATTGATACATTTGAGTATCATTAATTCTTGTGTATATGAGTTTCTAAGAACTTGTGTTATGAAAAAGGTACTTGCATCGGTATTTCCTTTCAAGTGTTGTGCCTAAAAGTTCTCTTTGGCAGGAAAGTTTTTTGTTTTCCACCTTTTCTGGATATAAATGTCAGCTTCTTTGACAAGCGGATGCTTTTTTCTCATCTATTGCAGGATTGGACAGGAGATAGTTGTTCTGCATAAAAATTCTACGCAAGGGTATCTCCTTTTCCAGAAGAGTTGAAGGACCAACTTGGCCTATACTTGCACTGCTTGCCAAAACCATCTCATGGGGAAGCAAGCAGGTGGCCTAGTTGATGGATGTGACAATGCTTATGTGAGAGCTTCTTGCAATTGTATGAGCCTTTGCCCTCTACCAGATGACGGAAATGGCTTTTGTTGCCCCTTTGGACCCTTCTTTGAATTGACCTAGTTTCAAATTTTGCTTGGCCTTTTTCTTTTTAATGGGTGTATAACATTTTTAGATGATAGCTGATGCCATCAGTCTGATCTGCCTAACTCGCTGCAGCTCAGTTTTATTTAAGCTCTTGTGGATTACTCCATTTTGCCAAGACTCTAAACCGACCACAGCTGGAGTCCGGTTGAAGCGCTGCCGCAAGGGGCCATGATCCACCGAGGTGCCTTCGAGGGGATGAGTGACCATCCCTGGTAAATGTTCAAACCTTTAGGTGATATAATTTGTTCCACGAGTTATATACGGGAAAGCCACCCTGTTCCAATCTTGTATAATTTGCTATGTTGTTGGATATTATTATTTCTTCTATGGTAATTTTGTTTTGTTCTAGTCCAATTTGTAGTTTCCCAGGCATGTGAGACTCGGCGTGTATGTACTTTCGACCACTTATGAGCATCACAGCTGCCTTTGTTGTTTTCTTTAGATTATATCAGATGGTATTGTCTGGTATATCAGATTATTTTTATCAGATCTGTGTAGGATCCTGAAATCAAAATATGTTTTCATCACTCGTCTTTCATATAAACATTCTAAACTGTTATAGTTACCATTCAGGTCTGGATAGGAAGCACAGTTCTTTGAAGGATAAACAAATGGGTAGAGCAACGGAGGAGGAACCAAAGGGACCTGTGTGCATGGAACATGCCATATTGCCTCCGGAACAACAGGAAGTGATGTTCTAACGAAAATGTTGCTGCATCGCTTGGATCTAGCAAGCAGGCATGGATGGAAACAATGAGATCTAGCGAAAGCAAATAATAATAATAAAGAACATTTATCTTTGCAACGAAGGAATTGTGGTGATGACCAAGAACAAGTTCAACAGCCGCTGGTACTTATTAAGAGCAAAAGAATCGATCGAGGTTTCCCTCTGATTTTATTTCATACAAAAACCAATTCCAGTGCTTGATGATGGTTTTAAAACCATCGGGTTTCCACACCATCATCATGCTCGATGGTGATCAATCAGGACTGTTTCTGATTTAATTCCCCAGAAACAAGTCCATCATAGCCAAGGCCAAAGAATTCCGATTCAAATCTGCAGTCTGTTCATCAATTATGTGGAATTGTCGGCTCTTTGTTTGTCGTGAATGACCTGAGCAGGTAATTGGGGAGCTTCCAAAGCAAAAACTGCCTTGAGGAACTCGTATGACGCGAAGAATATAGCTCCTTGGGAGACATACATAGCTAATCTTGGAGTCAAGCCCCTAAAAAAATGAGAAGAAAAACTTGATCAGATTTAAATGAAGAACCAATATGTCAATCAAACATATCTAGACCACCAACACTACCGTGCCATTTGCAGCAGACAAGAAAATAGGGTCCATATGTGAGGATGACTTGTACTCTATACTTGGAGAAAATTCCATGCACCAAGCAAGCATGAACTAGGGAATTAACACACATCGTTCTACCTGTAAAGGCCTTGCAAGCCTTCTTGTCTAGCTATTTCTTGAAGCGCATGACCAACCCCATTATATTTCCGAAGAGTTCCAGGAGCCTGAATGAAGATAAGGCATCAGAGGTGCAAAAATCGTCATGCAGATTTCTCCAAGTTCAGCATATCATACATGCAAATGATCTTTTGACTAAGGTCGACATCAATTATCATGGAGAACTCACTTGCGTCTGCAATTTTGTCTTCACCACATCGAAGGGTGTCGTAAAAAGAGCAGCAGTAGATCCAGCAAGACCCCCACATAATAGCTGTAAAGATGACAAAGTTCCAGCAGTCAGATAGACTCCTCAAATCATCGAATTACAAGAATACTTGAATACACAGTAGAAAGTTGCATGAAAGAGGTGCTACTTCAATTGAAGTTGAGCTCTAGATACGGAGCCTGGTCAAAAGAACAGACAAACAGTAGTGTTAAAAGTATAAAAAATTATAAATTAAGATTGAGTCTCATATACTGGCTTAAGCGTTCAAATGCAATGGGTAGTAAAAAAATTAAAGATGGTGTTGAAGCAAATGATCCTAATTTCAAATCTTCACCAGGTTACGTTTATAAAAATATATCCTTGACTAATATTCCATTGTGTTGGGTTGAGCCTTTATCATCCACACACGAGAGAGTGTCAAAAATATAAATCAAGATCATGTTTTATTACCTGGCCGAAACCTGTAGATGCAATCGTATTGATAAAAAAAATAAGTAGAACTGCAAATTCCTCTATGCTTATGGTTAATTGCTCAGGCTTGTAGTTTCATAGGCCAAGGTTCATAATTTTGTGTCCTTATAATGTACCAATCAGGGCTCAAATCGACATCATACCGATTTTTACCATTAGACCGAGTGTCGAGTGTCAGTGAGCGGCAGTGTACCAAGTTTTCGAAAAAGAAAACCTAAAAAATGAGAAAAAAAAAAAGAAGCTAAAACTCAACATAGGCCTTGTACGAGATGGTACAAGTCCTGCACCAGATATACTATCCAATTGATGCCGGTCCACATACCGGAATGTTGTAAGTCGGGGAAATACCCACCCGTATTGTACGGTACCAGGTAATATTACAAATCTTGCTATAGGTTAGGTTGGGTCGTCACACCTTTCATGTAAGAAGCATGAATCCAATTATGTGTTTGAGATCCTTAGTTAAAATCTCAATCTATATTTAGTAAACGTGCAATGAGTCACATAACCTTTTTTTCCCTATATTCTAAATTGATACTCACACTTCCTGTTTTTATATTTCTTAGTATTGGAGCAACGAGGGCATCCATAGGTAGCCCTCGTTAGTAATTAAGCTAAACTTGTTATATTTAATGTTGTGTTCATCATTCGAAATTTATGCAATATGTTTTTGTTGCTTTTATAAGAGTGCTCTCTTTGGTCGGTTAGGAGCATGTAAGAAACCCTAAAAATCAAGTTCCCCTCTTACTTTGTTTGAACATTCTTTCAAACCCCTTCAGATCAATTAACTTTAGACAATGCTGACAGCTTAGAAGTTATAAATTCCATTGGAGTTGGATCAAATAAATAACACAAGCCTTCCAGAAGGTTTTTAGGGAAATATAAAATTAAGTTTGAAACTCGTAAAGCCTCTTATTATTAGTTCCACAGGTAAGTTACATAAGTAATTGTATAATGCTAGAAAAAGAATGTGATATAACTAACAGTTTGCGATGTGCTAAGACCTCCTTCAGGCTTTGAAGAGAGCTGCTTCAAACTTTCGTAGGTGTAAAACTGCAATTTTAAGGCCTGAACTTGTTATTTGAGTAGAAAAAACAATCAACTTTTTTAATGTTTCTAGTTGAATTGCAAGGATAACTGAATGGGAGAACACACCTTGATAATGGAGTGTGGAATGTTTCTACAAAGAACTGCCCTCCACCCGGCATATAATGAAGGCAGTCCACCCTTCTCAAGGCAGCCAACAAAGGCATTCCTGTGAAAACAATCTCTAATTGAAGTTTGATAAAGAGAAAATCTTAGAATTATGAATCTATAAGACATAACAGACTCTTTGGTCCTGTGGACATAAAAATTCTGAAGCTAAAACACCATCGTTTGCTTTAACAAGGTCAACTAATGGAAGATAAATTCCTGGAATGATCAAATTGTAAGAAAAATTGTGATTTATTTGCTGGCAGAGATCAAATTTTTATTTTGATGTAATATCTTTGGAATGCTATCTTGTCATCCCCTATCAAACTCAAAAACCCATTTTTGATCAAAAAGAAATTATGTTTCAGTTGTTTCTATATGGAATTTCCAAGTTTCGAACACAAAAGATTTACAAGTAACAAAAGAAGAAGGATCCAAAATATGATTCAGAAGTAGATAGTCAAAACAATAACCTTTTTGTAATTCTGTGCAACTAATACATTATGTTGTGTGTTCTAAGATATATAGGGTCATATTTCACATCCTTCAGGACATATCATTTAGTAATTCATGGCAGGCTTGAGTATTACAGATCTAAAATTTATTATACCAGCATAATAAGCCTGGAACCTAATCATCTAGAATTGTTTCAGCTTTAAAATTTTAGCATGAAGAAAAAACAAGGGAACCCAACTACGAAATGGGTCTCAGTAAACAAATGAGCAGAACTAGTTGGATATTCTTGATGAACATCATATTAATTGGTTCCATTTTAGCAGTGTCTTAGAAGATTCAATGAAGGTTAATTTACTTAAATCTATATAATCTATAAGGTTTGGAACCATATGTATAATCCGAATGACCATTATTTTTTTCTTTAATTCTTTTGCCCTTAATCTTTAAAAAGTCTATGTACCTTTTTTATTGAGTAACATGAATGGCATTCTTGCTTTAATAGCAGCCAAATGACAAACTTGCACCATTAGATGTTGAATCAGGTTAACCTTCAAAAGTAAATGCTTCATTAGTAATCTTTGTCATGCTAGAAAAGAATGAGGCTAGAGATAAAGGAAACTAATTCTTCATAACACCTCTTTTAAAACACAGAATCCAAGAGTCAAGATAACATGTAAAGGTAATTCTTCATTACCCAACTTAAAACAGTAGGATATGGCTAAACAAATTACCAGCAATTTTGATACTGTGAACCCACTTGCATCTGTTGCTTTATACGTTCACTGGGAGTAAAGACAAAAGAAGTAGCTATACTCGAGCAGCCACCTGCAATGCAGTGAGCAAAAGAATGGTACTCCTGGATATGGATAAGCAGTTAGAGTATAGAAACAAATAACGATTATGTGTAAAAATTAAGAAAATATAACAGTTAGCAAAAGGAAAATAAGGGTCACCTTTGGCAGAATAGGCAGAAGAGTTCCCTTAACTGATTCGTATGTGAAGGTATAAATGGCAGAAATTGGGGCCGAGGAAGCAATATTGGCAGCTATCCCACGGTATAGCCCTGATAAACCTGTAGGGAAAGTCTACAAGCAGTTTAAGGAAGATTCTATCTACAATCCTCAAACCCATAGAACGTAAAACATGCAGAGGATACAACAAATGTTAGATATTTGATATTTTGAGCCCAATTGCACAGAATGACCAAAATTTTGGCTATTAACATTACCTTTTTCTGATATGATTCTTTTGAGTGTGCAATAGGCCGACTTTTGAACCATGCCATCAGCCTGAATGATAGTTTTAACTGTGTCAACAGGATGAAGACAAAGGCTAACCATGATTCCAGCCAATGCTCCTGCAATTGCATGTCTGTTCTTGGCAAATACCTTTTTGAGTTTATCTTGTACTGTGATCCAATCGTTCAGTGTATACTGTTGTTCACATAAAAGTTCCCGAGGAAAGCTTTTATCATTCCTGTGAATGTTATGATCACTGGGGTTAGAAAGGACTTCTGAAACCTCAGTAAGTGAAGAAGAGACAACTCTGATAGCTTGTTGACATTGTCCACATGTGCAATCAGTTGAAGTTAGGAAATCAAAGTTGTAGCCCAAATGAAGGTTAGAATCATAGTTTCTCAATCCAACAACCGCTTCTTTTCTAATTGTCATTGGCATAAGTGAATATGTTGAACAATGAGAACCTTGAATGTGCAGATCTTTCTCGACTGTGTTCAATGAATGATCAGAAGAAGTATCATTACATTCGGAAATAACATAATTTCCTTTATCCTGACTGGCGGATATTTGAACTGGAGTTTTCTTGCCTTTTCCAATAGAACTGTGGCCTGTAACATCTTTCAGATCCTCCAAAGCGGAGTTCTCATTTATCTTTTCATATAATTTGGCTTTAACAGTAGGAGTCATGCTCCATGACATCTTATCATTTCCTACATGTGGATGAAAACCACTTAACCAGACATGTTTCGAAATGAAAGAATGACCTACATATCTATTACATGCAGGAAGCAGTAACTGTTTCTTAATCCATTTTAATTCCTCAAAATTTGATCTTACTGCAGATGATGAAGAGCTTAAAGATTTGGGTCCATAGCAAAAGCTTTCACTTTTTGCAGTTGCTGGTTTATGATTTCTTTGCCTGTCCACATAGCATATGATATTCTCTTTCTGATGAATGTTATGATATTTCAAGCTTTCATCACTGTAGAAAACTGCTGGATCTGCAACGTAATCCCAGATTCCAGCAACAGCTGATATGAACTCTGATGTACGTGCTTGTTGGATGGGAGATTTGGCCTCAGATCGGGCATTGCCCTTTGCACGAGCTCTGGAGGCATCTTTCTGATGAGAAATTTTATTTGGCACATGAGATTGAACATCCAGAGGAGCCCACCGATATCTGCTTGAAGATTTATCATTTTTTGCACATCCATGAGAACATGCCATTATTAGGACCTTAAGCAGAAGCCATCTTGATGAGTAATGGGTAGCTGAATCAAATCAGATTAATCTCTGGACAGGTTTGACGACTTCAGAAACAACTAGGGACACCAACAACTGCAAACAAAACGTGTATACTAAATTAGCATGAACAACAGAGTCTGCACAATTGAGCAAATCCTGTAGATTAGGCATTGGTAAAGAAGGCAATGTCCTCCACATTCAGATGCTACATTTCAGGAGAAAAAGGTAAAGTCTCTAGCTCACAACAAATCTCAGTAGAGCTACCTGAACGACCACAGAGGTGAGCTTGCTTCAACCGTGACCCAGCAATTAAAGTTGCAGAATTGATTAAATCTTCGGCCTACACCAAAAGAAAACCCACGGAAACCAGTCAAGCAATGCATGTTGCTGTAAGAGTCATTTGATCAAACAGAAACAGGGCACAATTTGCAACTCAAAGAAACGAAATGAAGCACCGTGCAACAAGAATGGGGGAAAAACTTCCATCTTGTCCCCTAGTTCCACGGAGACATTCATTAAAGACTTGACCTTTTGTAGAGAACAGAAATCCAAGACCAGGACCAAGTCGGAGAGGAGAAGGCCTACGTACCTCGAGACATGTAACAGCGTTGTGTCTCAAGCAAGCATCATAAGGGAAGACGGATTTATTCTGCAGTTTCTTGTGGAAATTTGGCGAGATTCTCGCAATGTATGAGTGGAGATGTCATTGGTAGCGGATTGGAAGGATGCGAAATTATATGACGGCGAAGTACTATAAGGATCAAAGAGAATACTACTACACCAGCATCGTCGATTCAGATTGCAGTGGATTTGCGTGTGTGGTTGTGAGAGCGACTGCGTGTTCTTCTTCGTATACAATATAAAAGTAGCGGGGTATGGACAGCTCGGCTGCTGCCGCACATGAAATATATATATATATATATATATATATATATATAGTTTCTCCAAAAAAAAGCCAGAGAAGTTTACTGTTAGAGCCCATTTTTTTCTAGAATTTCTATAGAATATATTTTTTTCTAGAATTTCTATAGAATATAGAAGTTTACGGTTGGTCGTCACCGTTGCTCTACTACTCCATCGCTTATCATCTTTGTTTTGTCATCCTCGTCGTCCTCGTCATCATCTTGACAGAAGAGACTACGAGAGGAAATGATGGTGCACGAGCCTCTTACTCTTTGCTTGTTGTCTCTAGTCCTCGTCATCAACCTTGATAGATGGAGTTACCTATGAGGACAACGAGGGCAAGTGGGTGAAGACAACAACGATAATAAAGGAAGAGGGGAGGAGAGGCAAGGGCACTGGTGTAGGGCAAATGCGCTTGAGAATATGACTAGAGGTACTTTGCGGACATGACTAAAGGTGAAGGTGATTGAGCACAAACGAGGGCGACGAGCAAAGGTTGAAGGCTCGTGCACACAAGTGTCGAAGGGTCGGGTGTTGGCATGGCTAAAAGCAAAATCATCTTTAAAAACAATATTTATAAATTTTTAAAAAATATTTACACATAATGGTTGACCTCTAAGGAATGGTAAAAAAATCATCTTAATAATGGCAATAAAATATTTTATTTAGTTATATTTGTGAGGTCTCGAGTTTACACTTCATTTAGTTATTTGTTTGTGAGATCTCGAATTTATGTTTTGATAAAACAGTGATAGTTTATTTGCACAATCGTTTATTACTAATTCATTTTTATTTGGTATGAAACTCTACAATATTATAGAAAAATCGACCCTTTGCAAAGAGATATCATAGAAATGTGAAAAATCGACTGTCATTATCTTTCTTAAATTCCCCCCGTCTTATGTATCTTTATATTCTTCTTCTTCTTCTTGCATGCATCTCCGAAACCACTAGCAGTAGCATACACAATCCAACATTGTAGATTACAAAATTCCCTCACTAAAAATGATAAAAAGCCCAATTGGTCTCAATTTTCTTATTAGAATCATTGATAAGCATATTTAATCTCTCGTTCTCATTTGATATCTTTATCTTCTTAGTATTATTTTTCCCGATTAAAGATTCATAAGGTGTTTTTTTGAATAAGGGAGGCAGCAGATTAGGGGATGGTGTGATTTGGGATCTAATTAATTGGTGGTGAAGTCCAAATCCAAAGTCAACGATCTTTAGATCGTCAACGCCTTCCGGCCAATCGCGGCTATAGCCGAAGCTGGTTACCGGGTCGGGTTAGGACTCGAACCGTATCCGATAGTTTCCCATACGGGTCGGGTGACTCGTAAAGGTCAGTCCATTAAGACCCTAACTAAACCCCCCGCTTCCCTCAGCGACGTCTCGCCGACATACTCCAAACCAGAGAGAGAGAGAAGGGGGAAGATGGTGAGCAAGAGGCAAAAGGAGGCCAAGAAGCGGTTCAACGACGCGAATCCCCAACTCTTCTCCGATCCGAAGCCGGAACACTCGTCTACCTCGACCTCGAAGAAGGAGAAGGAGAAGAAGAAGAAGGGTCTCAAGAAGAAAAAGGGGGAGGCAGCCTTCAAGAAGGGGAAGAAGACCGGGGGCGCCGCTACGAGGAAGCACCCCCTCAGGGTACCCGGGATGCGCCCTGGCGAGAGCTGCTTTATCTGCAAGGCCACCGATCACATCGCCAAGCTCTGCCCCGAGAAAGCTATGTGGGAGAAGAAAAAGGTCATGTTTTGCTTCTTGATTATTCTCCCTCCCTTTTGTGTCTTTCGTTATTTTCATCGCGGTGACTTTGGGATAGCGTTTTTCTCGTGGTACGTCGTCTTCTTGTTCGTAGATTTTGGAACATGGAATTGGAGATCTGACCTGTAATTGATCGTATGATGATTTCTTTTGTTTTAATCCAATAGTTCTTGTTGATGTTATCGTTGGAATTGAGGTTCAGTTTTGGGGTTTTGGTCTTTTGTGCTGTTTGTCTTCTGTTTTTGATGGGGAGTTATTAGGTTACAGTTGAAAAAAAAAAAAAGGTTCTGTAGTAGTACATATCTTTGCTTGTGGTTGGCACTCATAAATACAAAATCGTAATTCGGCAAAATGCCTGAAAGTTGATGGCAGTGACATTATGCACCAACTCTCCAGTTACTAATAATCAAAGGCACGGATGGTTAAAAAGTCCCAGAATTCATCAAAATGTCTACCCTTATTCAGGTTTCATTATTAAGTACGAAAACAGATGCAAGTAGCATATGAATACCAAATCAGTCATATAGATACAACCACAAACTATTTGGTATAAGGGCACACTTACTTTAGTTGGCTGGTTTATATCCATGTCCATACATGTCATATGCAGACAATGTTTTCAATCATATGTTTGTCCGCATATCCTTTAATTTATGGTGAACTGGATTAGCTTTGACTTCTCTGGTGTTTTTTGATGCTGGAGCCGAGATAGGTGGTGTATATTCTTACTATGTGACTAGCTTTTGGAAAAAGTGTTGAACAGGTTAACCCAACTTGTTGTTTTTAGAACTTGTTTTTTGTGGGTTCTGTATAAATTTCATGTTAGCAAATCATGAAAACCATACTGCCTTTCTAAGAATTTGAATCATTAATAATTTTGATAATGCACTGGCCAGTGTATCTGAGGAATAGTGGCTTCTATGGTTTTATCATATTTGGTGGCTTGATTTGAGAAATACTTCTCATATGCATTTTCGAATAAGATCTATTGTGGTTCTGTACCTTTTCTGGCTTCTAGCCTGTCAGAAATTATAAATTCCAGTTGTTCTTCAGATTTGCTTGCTTTGCCGGCAGCATGGTCATAGTCTGAAGAATTGTCCAGAGAAAAGTGATGACACCAATAAGAAGAAGTTGTGCTACAATTGTGGAGAAGTTGGGCATTCACTTTCTAGGTGTTCACTACCACTTAAAGATGGTAATCCACTGACTGTTTCTTTGCACATTCCATGTGTATGCTTTAACATGCCACAAAGGAACTATAGAACATTGTTCATGCTTTAACTTAATCCAATATCCATAAAATTTATGTGATTTACTATAGTGGCTGTGCAGTCAAACTTGAAATCTTCTAGAGAAAGTGATAATCATTCATTTCAGATTACAAGCAAAAACTTCTTTGGTTTATCATTTCAGGTGTTCCAGGAATATAATGAGTGGTCCTTATGGTTGGACAACACTTTTATTTTAGTCGACGATTACAAATGTAATGCTGGATTTATGTCATTGCTCATTGGATTACAAGCAAAAATTTGTTGTTATTTCGAGTGAAATATGCTGTGATCTTTTTCATTTATCCTAGCAGTATTGAACAAACCGCAGTTGGACCAACAAATGAGGCTTTGTGGTCCATATTCCTTGAATATAGTTCTTTTCTCTTCTTTGGCTAGGATGCCAAATTATTTTGGGGACTTTCCTCTCAGTTAGCTTACCTCATTCTACTGGGGCCTTCATAGGTCGCCTTTGAATATATCTAACCCACTTCCCGTAGCTCCTCTGTTGTTGTGAAATTGGTATCAATTCTTTTTTCTAATCTAGATGTTTTCTTAGTCTTCAATTTTTTGTAAAAGTAACTAATCAGCTGAGTTACCCTTTAATTTTGCAAGCCCTTTAAACTTAAATATTTACCATAAGGTCCTGCAAATGAACTATTTTTAATTTTCTGTCCTTTATCTCCCTTGTCCATGTTTTTTTGCTTTTTTATTTACTAAGCTATCTACAAAATGTCAAGTAATTGTAAAATTTACTTCTTTGTATTTCTTTAATCTTACTATGTTTTGTAAGAACTCTTCGTTTTTTACCTAGATTTTTATTCTTTCTTAATTTTTTGGAACTAATGACAACATTTTTATTCCTTTTTTCTTGTTAAATTAAACATTAGTATCTCATTGTTTTTACATCTTGTCTAAACTTTATGACATGTTCTTTTTGCTACATATATGTTTATTATTTTAACATCATAACTTCCATCTAGAGAGTGAGGCACGGCACAATGATAAGATTGCTCCTGTGCAACTTAAGTTACTAGCATTCAAGCTATGGAAAGAACCATTCAAGGTGCATGCTTAAGACAATGCACATTGACCTTCCCTAACTTGTGTGATCAACTGTCCTAACTTTTATCCACTCCTTAAGATTGCCTCCTTGATTAGTCATTATTTATGTGTCCATTTAACTTTCCGTATCACACTATTCAAATCATACCAATATTCATATCTGATCTGGTCATCATATCCTATTGGAGTAGCTTTTGGTGATAACATGTTGAGTTTCTACTTTTCCCGAGAGATTTTAATAATAATTTGACACCATTTTTTTTATTTCTATATATATTTATAATATTTATCGACAATGATATTTAATGCTGTTCCTATATCTTTGTTTTTTTTCTCTGCAGACCAAAGTTTGTATTTAGTATGTTTAATTTTCATGTGACTTCTCTGCTATCCACATTATTTCTTGTAATCAAATTGTGATAACCTTGTTTTTAATTGTTGTATTAAGGAATTATAATCCCTTAATTAAAATTATTCCTGTTTCCTGATTTAGTCCAAGCCTATGATATTAAAGGTAACTGTGCACAATATTGAAAAATATGAAATCATTGCTTAATTATCACCATGTATGGATGTCAATGCGACAGACCACTTTCAATTGGCTTATTAGTTATTAACCCACTTTGTTATCAAAGCATTTGGCTGCATTGGTTTTATTAGGTTCTGAACTAGCTGTGACATGTATTGAGCAAGATCTATGTTTATATTTGTTTTGACAGAATTTTATGTTGGCTGTTATATACAACCCTGAAAATCATCTATGTTCTCTTTATTTATTTAGTTAAAAATATGGAAAGACTTGAATGTCATAGGAATTTGTCCATGGTTATATTACATTAAATTTCCAGTTTTCATTTAGTGTTCCTTCTTTGGAATTCTTGAAAATGCAGGGGGAACTAAATTTGCAAGCTGCTTTATCTGTAAAGAACTTGGACACTTAAGTAAGAATTGTCCAAATAACACACATGGAGTCTATCCAAAGGTATGTTTACTCTTTTATGGAAGGGAAAAATAAATACTTTTTTACCATTATTGTGTCACATGCTATCATATAATGACATTTGGACCATTGATTATCACAAGTCTGGTCATATTGTGGTGGAACATGATTTGTTTTGCTTTACAAGTCTTGCAAACACAGGATAACGTATCAGTTTCTTAACTAAAAGAATTAACTATCTTGGCTGTGATTTGTGGCTTCGAGCTTTCAACTTTCAAGTACTGAAAATCTATCATGGAAATGACCTTGATGACTTAAATCTTCATATTTTTTGCCTGACTGAACTGAACAGAAATCAGATCTAAGTATCTTTTCATATTGTTGCAGTAATTATTTCCTATGTGGATATTATTAAAAAAAAGTGGCTTTCTTTTAAAATAATTACATTCAGATATGCTAGCATGCCTTTGAAATTGTGTGATGATGATTCACCAAACTGTGATTTTGAGCAATGTAATGTATTTTCATGTCTTATCGCTTACTGTTTTTTCTATCTTGGGGTGTTAGTAATTGTATACATGGATTTTATAGATTCTTAGAGGCTTATGAGAGCATGGACATTCTTTTTGAAAACTGGACCTTAAGCTGGTATCGTGTTATGTGATTCAGGATGGATGGACCTTTCACATGTAATGAAAGAGTGACCTAACCAGCTGAGTGAGAAATTAAATCTTTTAACACAGTAGGGTCATTGTGACTCAAGTCAATTTGGCAGCAGAATCCATATTTTATTTTTGTCAGAGGTTCGAGCATTGGTGACCATTTACAAAGAAGATCATGTCATCATGAGCACTCTTTCCTCAAAAAATTTTTGATGTCCTTTGTTGCACCAAAAAATTATGAACATTATTTTCTTTTAAGCATTCTCTCTGCACTGTTATACCATGGAAACCAACTTTTACATATTGATTTTCATCAAGTTATCCCCTTATTCTTACAGCAAAATTATCACATTGACATTGATGCTGTTGTGTATAATTTTCTGTGACATTTGCTGCTGACAGTAACAGAATATCTTAAGAAAGTACAAAATTTGTTATTCAAAATATTCTGTTCTCATAGTCATTCATTTGTTTCATTCATCTTATTCAGTATGTTTATGAGTGTAAGTGTTTCTTAACTACCAAGTTTCTGTTTGGTGGATTCTTGTTTGGCTCTTGTTTTTATTTTTAATTTCTCTGTGATATTCTAGCAAAATCTTTTGTCACATTGCCATATTGTTCAAGTTTATTCTTCCCATTATGTTTTTGGATTTTGGGAGTGCATTTGGATACAGGAAACTGGTGATCTTGGTCATGATTCTTCACAACTTCTGGTTCACCTTTTGTTGGCTCCTCTGGAGTACCAATTTCCATGTTTCCCAAAATCATACAAGTCATTTCTTGTTATGTTCTCCCTCTTTTGATAATCTTTGTTGCCCAAATTTTGTGTTTAATTATAATTTACACCCTTCTTATTTACATGAATATAGTGAGTCATGTTCCACTATATCTTTTACATGTGTGGTATCATCACAGATGTTTGCTTACCTTTAGCAACTCAATTTGTCTTTGTTCATTTTAATGTTCATAAAAGAGAACAAATTTTGTCAACCGTGTATAGAAGATTCCTTAGTTCGATGGAAGTCAAAGCCTATGGATGGAATCACATTTCAGTTCAAGAAAGAACGTATTGTCACAGACTTAGCTGGAATTGCTTAAGTCGTGAGGCACCCTTGCGGCCAAGACATGAACTTAGCTTGAGTTGCCTAAGTCGTGACGCACCCTTGCGCCAACTTCTTGGACTTAGCTGAGATTGCCTAAGTCTTGAGGCGTCCTTGCGACATATGCGTCCGCAAAGGCTCAGCTGAGTTGCAACCTCGTACAGGTCCCGAAGGACCTATAAAACAGAAAGTTGATTAGATTGAAAATGAGAGACGGACAAATCTCGACGTCTCGCAAAGAGGGAAGCTTTACAAGCAATTCAGCAAGCACCTTGTGTGCACAGGAGAAATGAGGAAAACAAGGACTTTAGAAGGTAGAACGAATAGTTGCAAGTCCACAAACAACTGCTCACCGGGTGCCGGGCGCGAAGGCAAGTTCCCGTAAAGTTAACGTGCGAACTTGTGAAGATTTTTCAACGCTCGATAATATATCGAAGCCCCATCCAGACCTGTGCCACCCGGGGGGTTCCAGGATGTTGAGATGGTTGACATTTCGCGCGGTACAACGGGTTGCAGAAAACAGCCTGTGACACGCGAAAACGGAGCCATTTTGGGGCCTTTTGACCCGGCGCGGTGAGTGGTCGTACTGTGCGCTGCAACCTGTTCGAACACGTATTTTTCCAAGCAAAAACACACAAAACCAAGGCAAAACAGGCTGTCATGTCTCTGTTCAAGCATGCAAAAGCGACGAACGGTTTGTTGAACGAAGTTGTTGCGAGTGCGCGACGACCGTTCGTGACAGTATGTTAAAGCATTGGTTGTTAAAACTTGATATTGTTAAATTTAGGTGGATGTAACAAGCTCGGTTTATCATGTCTGAAGTGTTGTCACTCGAAAGGCTTTCCTTAAAGTTATATTCCACATGCATTTTAATGTTTTTTGAGAAAAAAGACATTTTCTGGTTCATTGTTTGGCTATTTGCTTTTCTCTGCAGAAAATGTGCACAATTTGGTTTTGTTTGAACGCTTTGGTTGTTGAAATTCTTGATTTCATTATCTGCTGCTGAAATTCAACAAATTTAGTGATTTATGTTAGATATAAGAGGTTATATATGTTTAAGCAGGGTAGAAGCTCTGTATGTCCTTTTAACATAATTGTTGCTTCTTCTTTTTAGAGATTTATGCACATTTACTCTTTTGGTTATCTTTTGATGCTTCTTCTTGTTGTTTCATGTAATACAATGTATTTTCTTTATTTTTAACTATTCATGGTAGATTCCAAGTTGATTAGCTTTGGTTTACTTTTTATTAGGGTGGTTCATGTAGGATATGTGGTGAAGTAACCCATTTAGCCAAGCACTGTCCAAACAAAGGCAATAAATCTTTGGACACTTCCACAGGACAGCAGAAATTTTGTAAGTCCTGTTGTTCAGTTACTATATGCTAGAATATCCTACAATAACAGAATGTTAGATGCTTTCTTGTTCCTTCTACGAAATGAAATCTCTATACCTTTCTCTATATACTACTATTGGGAGATCTCTACCGCTTTTGATTGTAACAGGAATTTCTTAGGTCTCCTATAGTTTTGGAGTATCATATATGTCACTGCAAGTTTTCAATAATACACATGTGCCTCATGACATGGTCATTATTCCTTCTAGGGTTTTCATGAATGATAATGTGATATCATATATTCTCAAAGGTCAAATGAGTATTTTACAATATTTCAAGGAGACTGTTATATTTGCAACTTCCGAGTGTTAATTACGAGGTTTTCAAACTTTACAGCACATGTATCCATTCTTGTTTTTATTTTCTAGGTTGCTAATTTAATGCAAATTTCTCGTGGTTGAGGCCTTGTTAACTTATTATAGTAACGTCAGCATTTATCTCCAAAAGGTTGTTGGTGTTTGCTTTCTGATATTATGAATTTGGACATTACTTTTAGGGATAAAAAATACACATGAAACCTAGCGACAAGCTGCTCTATTGGTGAAAATATCATAGTACACATTTTGATGTTTAGACGAACACTTCTATGTGCTGTCTGATGGACATCTCCATACCTTCAACATTCTCCCCTATGGTTGGTATGGGAATTTAGGATATTAAATTAATCATCATCTGGTACTAAAAGAAGAAATTTGGAAAGGAATTGACATTCCTCTATGATAAGGAGTTTGTGCAAACAAGATACTAATTTGTCGCGGTTGGCTATCTGATAGGAAATCAATTGACCTCTACTTAACGGTAAGATGATAACAATTTACGAGGTCGTGCAGCAACCAAAGTTTTCGGGAATATCTCAGTTGCTTCATGCATACATGATACAAAGGATATTATGATCTAGGTCAGATATCTTGTTTTGTAGGTTGTTGGTGTAACCATACATGCAACAGCGAGACGAGCTCCGGTCGTGATTGAATCACACATAAGATCTAATTTTCTTACTGTCGATCGAGTCCAGTGTATTTGATCATGCTCTGTAAGTCAGCTAGTTAGGCCTATTTGATAGCTGCACATAAAAATGTCTTTATTAGAACCTACGTAAATTTATTAGGAATTGAAATAGTAGCTTATGTACAACATTGTTCACAAAATGAAGGTGATCATGCTGAATTTGGTGAAGATGCTGTTAGCATCTATTTACATCTGAATTTACTGACAGTGCTCCTCATTCATTAGTTTCAGTGGGCAAACCCAAGGAACATCAAAAAATTCGTTTCGGTGGAGATGATCTTGAAGATGATTTTATGGAAGAAAGTATCTTAGTCAGCAAGAAGGATGGCATCTCCAATACAAACTCAGCGTCTGGTGTAGGGACGGGCAAGACTTTAAAGAACACACGTGCCAAACCAAAGAAGCAGGGTCCCAAAATTGTTAATTTTCTCGGATGACTGTAATTCTATCTGGGTGCTAATGGATCGACATGGTATTCTTCTTCGAGGTGGTGATAACGTAAAACCAAAGAAGCGGATTCCTGATGACAGCGATGCAATCCGGATGCTGATGGATCGGCGTGGAACCGTCATCTTTTTGGGTGGTGTGATGATATTGAGGCCATCGTTATAGATATCGAATACCTTGAGGTGAGGGAAATTTTTGGTTATGCTTGTGCGATGTATCATCAACCGTCTTACTTTTTGTATTCTTATCCCTCTCAATGCAACCAAATTAATCACGTTACAGAAATCATCAGCTCTGTCGAGCAATGGTTTTGGCATTAACAAGCAATTTAATTCAAATATGTTGTCTCGTTGATATGTTTCACTCGTGTTCTTGCCTGATGAGAAATGCTTTTGGAGTAGGAATTCTTCCAATATGTTCGATTAGACATTATGTTGAGCTGTATTGATTGAGGAGATTGTCTTCAAGATATATAGAATGTTAATAAAAAGTATTAATAGTTTAGTCTCTTTTAGTCATTTAGTAGCAATGGAAAAAGTATAAATAATATTCTAAAATTATAAAATACTGAATCAAAGCATGGATTCAGTTGATGTTTGACTCCTTAACCCAATGTTGTGGTGGATAGAATGAGGCAAACTTGAGATGAGGATTAGAATTGCTGGGTCAAAGGGCCAGAAAACCAAAATTAAGCGCTAGCTCGGACGTGTCGGCATGCAAGTGCTTTGAGGAGGTCGTCGTCCCCTCGAGCTCCGTCGAATCCTCTCCTCCCTCCCTTATACTCCTCGCAGCTTCGAGGCCTCCTCATTCCAAGGACAACTCGCCTTCCTCTCCTCCCCCTTTAATCCCTTTCGCCTTCCTTCTTCCTCCTCCTTTCTCAATCTTCACTGGCCAGCTCTCTCCTCTCCTCTCCTCCCCCATCCAAGAGAAGCCATGGTGAGCCCTCCCTCTCTCTATTTCTCTCTCTGTCTCTCTGAGTTGTATGCACATACAGTCTTTAGATCTTTAGATGTTTGCTGTGTAATATGTCTTGATCCATCTTGTCTTCCTCGACGGTGATTAATGTGTGCGGCGGGTGGGTTGCAAAGGCGAATGCGGTCTCGGGAATGGCGGTGCACGACGAGTGCAAGCTCAAGTTCTTGGACCTGAAGGCGAAGAGGAACTACCGGTTCATCGTCTTCAAGATCGACGAGAAGATACAGCAGGTGACGGTGGAGAAGCTGGGCCAACCCGACGAGACCTACGACGACTTCACCGCCTCCTTGCCGGCCGACGAATGCCGCTATGCCGTCTTCGACTTCGACTTCGTCACCGACGAGCACTGCCAGAAGAGCAAGATCTTCTTCATATCCTGGTAATCGACAAGACTTCGCTCCGCTCATCCCAGAGGCAGAGCTTCACCATTCTGATAACTCATTGCTTGTGCTCAGGGCACCTGATACCTCGAGGGTGAGGAGCAAGATGCTCTACGCCAGCTCCAAGGACAGGTTCAAGAGGGAGCTCGATGGGATTCAGGTGGAGCTGCAAGCAACCGACCCCAGTGAGATGAGCATCGACATTGTCAAAGGGCGAGCTCTATAAGAGAGCCTACTTTGCTTCCTTCTCTCCGCAATTGGTATCCGCAACCCATTCATACATTGCCTATTATTATGCCTGATGCAATTAGCCTCCCTCCCTCTCTCTCTCTCTCTCTCTCTCTCTCTCTCTCTCTCTCGCTATATGTGTGTGTGTGTGTGATGGACTTATATTACCTCTTTATGGAAGTCTCAAGGAATCGTAAAAGCCGTGTTTTGGTTATTATTTCGTATGTAAATTAGAGGTTAAAATCAACAGAATTGTTGCTCTCTTCCATGGGAATGAATGAATGAATGAATGAATGAGTTCACTACTTGTGTTTGCTGCAGCTGTTCGTTCTCAAAATTACTGCTGTGTGTTATCTAAAGAAATGAGAGACTTCACATCATTTTACATGGCCGGTAATCTGAGAACGGCCGAGTAATTTAACCGGCCGGGTTGGTTCATTTGGTTGTGAATTAAGCCTGGGCCGGAATCCGCCTTCTGGGCCGTGAAATGGCGGTTCGGAAACGGTTGAGCCAGAGCCAGCCCATCAAAAAGTGGGTTCAAATAATTCCAGTACGCTTACCGTCGACCTGACTCTTCGCAAAATGGCCCGAAAATATTTTTTTCGGCCCAAAACCGTCCGAGTTCTCTGTTCTTATTTCCACCTACGGTGACCGGAATCCAGAGCGGATCTGCGCATAGTTATATCGGGCCCAGCTCGATGACCATGACGCGGCCCGATCCAACCAATGAAAACACGGGTACCGATACCTCGTGTGAGCTTACCGTATACCCATTCGATGACGAACTGGTCACAAAAAATTTATTTTCGCCTCAAACTTCTTAAATAACCCGACATTACCCTCACTGACGGTGACCAGAAACTAGCCTATTCGAAACTGGGCGACGTCGCAGCTCACGAATCTTAAAGCTTCATGCCATCCCCATCCGCCACGCCACCTCCTCTTCGTCTCCCACGGCGCTACCACCCCTTGGCTGCTTCCCACCTTTCTCATGCATGACGTGGATCCTACGCCTCCACCCATGTCGGCGCGGCTCGTCACCGACGATGCCACGGCCTCCACCTTGCTGCTGCTGCTGCCTCCTCTAAGTAAGCGTAGTGTCGATGGCTTCATGGCTTGAGTTCATGCATCCACGAGGAAACGTTGCTGAGACCGACAAACTCCGTCAGACGATCAGCAGGAAGGAGAAGCATCGGCTGGTCTACCGAAGGCTGAAATCAACGAGTCGGAAGCGCGTCTGCCTGCGAAAGATGGAGCACTTTGCTTCTTCCGTCACACAAAAACGTTGCGGAAAACGAAGCAGAAAACACTACTACTAATACAGCTTCCTTTGCAATTGCCGCAGATAGCAAAATGAATTTATATACAGCTTCTCTTTCATGCAAAATATAATTGTATTTTAGAAATCAGCCGAATTATAGGATTTGAAGCATAAACATAATCTATCACAGTCTCCTCACAATTCACCCACAAAAGCAGAGTGAAGTAAACTCATTAACAGAATCTATCCGAAAACACAAAACAATGCGATTTGGTATAAAATGATCCTAAATTTATTTTAAAATTAAAATAATAATAATAATATATTTTTTAAAATTAAAATTATGTTCTAATGGAATTGTGAAAGTCTGAGATCTTTTAGAGGCATATGAGTTTTAGAGTCGAGTGTCTTTTTAGTTCAAATTGAATGTATTACGATGAACTTTGTCTAAAATACTTCAAAAATAATAAATATGTACATCTATCCTCATATACGATTGTAACACCCATTCACAGAAATGTATATATATATATATATATCACAGAAATGTGACAATGATCACTCTAAAAAAAGTATGTTCCCTCCTATTCTTCAGGCACCATCACAAACTGCAGGCCATTCAAAAATAGAGAATACTCTCCAATGGCTGGCAGTCAAAATGAGGATTGCCATGGAACCCTCACGAGATTGCATTCCCCCCCACCCCTTTCTATCAGGCAATGAATTCTTGAGTGGTTGTGGACTTCTTCCCACGTATTTGGCGTCGACAGCGTGGATTACGACGACGCCCGCCCGCCCGCCCGCCCTTGCCTCACCAGCTTGACTGGATCTTGTGGATTTAAGCTTACATCCCTCCGCTTTACTCTCCTATCTTTCCTCCCCCACTCCCACGTTTCTGCGCAAACTTCATGTAAATTAGCCCTCAACCTCCTCCTCCTCTCTCGGCTCATTGGCACGTCTTCTTATCATCTTCATTTGAGACCGAGAGGGACGCAGAAGCTCCTCCACCACCCACATCCATGTTCTAGTCCACCTATCTTTCGTACAAGATTAATGCATCAGGGTGATCTCTAGTTCATCGGTGTTGGGTGGCCGTGTCTACTTCTCCTCCTCCTCCTCCTCCTCCACCTTTACCTACCTTGGGACTTTGGGCTCTTTCAGAATGTCTTTCAGCGGCACCCTCGACAAATGCAAGGCATGCGAGAAGACCGTCCATTTCATAGATCTCTTGTCCGCTGATGGAGTCATCTATCACAAGTCCTGCTTCAGATGCAGCCACTGCAATGGGACTCTCTCGGTGCACCTCTCCTTCAATTCCCACGCAAAATATAATGTGCATAATATATATATATATATACACATAAATAACCCTTGTGTTCTCTCTGTGTACTTCTACCTCCTCCGTACCGTAGATGTGCAACTACTCTTCCATGGAGGGTGTCCTCTACTGCAAGCCTCATTTTGAGCAGCTGTTCAAGGAGACAGGCACCTTCACCAAAAAGTTCCCAACAGGTGATTTCCCATTATTCTTCTCGGATCCGAAATCTATCTATTGCTGATTGCTTCTTCTTCCTGAGGCTTGATTCTTGGTTTGTGATCCCTCAGGGATAAAGGCTGGAGAGAGGAATGAACTGGTAAGCCGTGCCGACCTGATGATCTAGGGATTCGATGCCTTTTACCATTTGTCTTTCTCATGTTTAAACCATGATGTATGTATGTATGACATGGCCTACCCAGTCTAAAACGCCAAGCAAGTTCTCCTCCATGTTCAGTGGAACTCAGGACAAATGTGCAAGCTGCAAGAAAACAGCGTACCCCCTGGAGACGGTCTGATCTCTCTGCCCACCTTAAACGTTTTTAGAGATGTGGAAGCTTAGAAGACCTAATAACCATACGTGTTGCTTCTTGTGGCAGCTGACCATGGAGGGAGAGTCGTACCACAAGACCTGCTTCAAGTGCTCCGTGGGAGGCTGCACCCTCACGCCTTCGTCCTGCGCTGCACTCAACGGCATACTTTACTGCAAGCACCATTTTGCTCGGTTGTTCATGGAGAAGGGAAGCTACAGCCACGTGATCCAGGCGGCTCTGATGAAGCAGAACGCGGCCGAGCAGCCCATCTAAGCCCCGCCCGCGCAGGATCGAGCGAGCGAGCGAGCGAGCGAGCGAGAGAGAGAAATAAGAAAGGCTTACTTATTCCAGGTTCATTCTGGTTCTTTGTTTTGACTTCTTCACCTGGGACTACTGGTATCAAGAGGAATTGAATTGTGCGCTTTGATTTCTGATGTTTTCCTCATGTACTCGATCCTTTTTCTTCTTCTTCTTCTTTTTCTCTCGTACAAGACCTATTCTCATAAACCAGTGAATCAAAAAAAGGCCTTAAAGATTAATAATCTTAACACCACCAGTTTATCCACATCCATTAAACCTCATCATCAAACATGCCACGGTTTAGCCTGTGGGCACTTCGATTTGGTTTCTTTTCATGCAGTTGGAATGGGGAGGAATACAATATTATATCTTCCTGCATGGAGAAAGAAACACCAAATAGAGAGAGGTACACAAGATTTTGCGAGCAACAGTGCTGTTTAGGCACCCAGATTTCCTGACCTGATAAAAGATAGTTGCTAGGAAAACAAAATAAATAATTGAACAAAATAAAAAAAGGAAGCAATACTTGCTATGCATGTTCTAATTTCTGTTTCTTCAGTATCACTTTTCCCACTAACATTTACATCAGGCTGGCAAAGTAAAAGCCCTATTGTTTCTTTAGCAAAGCTTGCAGATGTAAACTAACAATACAACTTGATTTTAATATTGGTTCAATTTTACAAAGTTGATTAGTAAAAGATTGGAATTTGCCTATAATTCATCGACTTCGGGTATAAATTTACCCCTGCATACACTGTAAATCCAGCTTTTCTAGCAGGCAGATTACGCTAACAAAGAACAGAAGGAAAAAAAAACCCACTATAAAGAAAATACAATCAAGAAATGCTTACATACCATTCATGGTTGTAGCTGGATTCCTCACAAGAAATGCTCATTAATGATCTTGATTTGTATTAAAGAAGAAGAAACGATAAACAGAAAATAAATGTTGAATATCTATAGGAAGGGCCATGTTTAAGTGAAAAAACTAAGCCAGTATTTAACTTCAGAACAATATTGAAGTTACTTGTGGAAAATGATATCAACTAGCAGTAATCCATTGTTTCAGCTACACCAACTAATGAGTGTCTCCTCTTTTTCTTAACAAGTTTGTTTCACAAAAAGTTCAATTATGGTAACAATGGCAAGCTCTTCAATACTGTTCCAGCAAACTCAACTTTCATGAAGGTTCCCATGAAACCTTACCAAACCCTGCAACCAGCTCAAGCATACGGGTGCTAGTGATGCAGCCAAGGATTCATATTGTTTGACCTTTTCCATTTGGCACAAGAAAGTCGAAGCCAATCGATATACTTAAAAATGATGTATGGCAAAAAATAATATTGATTGGCTTTGATTTTCTCATACCAAATAGAAAAAAATATTATAGCACCTCGATTAGTTCCGCATAGAAAGTGGATAAAACTAAGATTAACTTATAAGGGTCTGATATGAGTACTATTAGCGAGGCCTTGATAATTGATATCAAGGCCAATCTAATATTGTGGCATGACGAGTGAGTTCAAAAATTTTGACTAGTGACTTGGACCAAACAAAGTTGATAGACTAGTTATCTCATGACACAAGTGGTGCATAATAGCAATAAATAAGAAAAAAAATTTAAACCATTACTAAATTTAGCAACTAAACATCAAACTAGGAAAACCCCCCTTTACCCTAAATTCATATTTAATTTGATGATCCCTAGGAAAAAAAGGGATGTCTCCTACATTACTCTTAATATGTGGAAGTATCAACGGAATTCATATATAAAATCCCACATTAGATGTGGAGAGATAAATTGAATCGATGATTCTGCTACCATTAACTTGTACTAAAGAAATTTGGACCCTATGATTTCAAAACTATCAGATTAATTAATGGATTGATTCTCCCATTGGATTACAATGCTTGCAGTCACATGCTCTACTAGGAGCAATTCCGGATTCCGCATCGGTTTGGACCATACCGATCAGATTTAGTCCCACATCAGATGCGGGGGGATAAATGAATGATTGTCTATTACTATTAATCAGGGTTTCTGTCGAATTAATGGGTCAGTCTCCAAAACAAAAAATGTCATACATACATGACACTAAAAAACCAAAATTGGCATTCCTTCTTGTTTACATGTTTGATGGAAATCATTTGTTACTTCTATTTTTGTGGCTGTGCCTAAATCATGTTCTTTTGATTATTGTTACTTTTACTGCTATGGCTGTTCCTAGATCATGCTTTTCTGGTTATTTGTTGACCTACTGTCACGACCTTAGCTGGTTTTGCCTAAGGCGTGCGGCACCCTTGCGTGTCCGTCCACAAAGGTCAGCC